TTTTTCAATACATTGACATGTTAAACATTGGAGATCGTATAGAGTCCGATCATTTACCGTTAGAACTGGCATATACATTCCTAAACATGAACAACCAAAATGATAAGCCAGCATCTGGTTATTTCAAAGACAAAATTGTTTGTAATGAATCCCTTTTTGAACCTTTTATTGAACAGCCTGCAGGAAATGGTGGTGTCTTGTAGCGGGCCTATAGATGGGACTACATATGATTTCGTCCATGTTATCTTAGATTGTGCAGATTGTATGAGGAGAAGAACTAGAACTATGCACTATCAACATACCAAGGCACTATTAAGTGACGATGTAAGATTGCAAGACGAGATGCTCGAAAAACATTAAGAACGTTTAGACGTAGACGTACTGACTCTAACAGAAACATCTACTGCAAAAATAGAAATAACTAAAAAACCTGCTGTAGCAAATATACATCTGACTTGTGTAAACTGAGGCTAAAACAACTGAGTAATACTATCCATTCTCCCTCTAAGTTTTGGAAACAAATACGTTCATTAAAAAACAGACATATGGAAAAGATGGTATCTCAAAGGCTGAGTGGCTTATTTATACACTTTATGAAGTTTTTGCCAATGATACTGTTTGACGATATTCTGGATGTTTCCTCTTCATGTTATACTAATCAGAGTCCTGACCATATTGTGGTTGAAATGATAAAATGTTCCAAACTTGAGATGGTGCCTTTCCTTCATAAATGTTTCAATAGGACGTTTGGCAGGGGTATATTCTCCAGGAGCTGGTCTTCTTCGATAATTATCCCACCACAAAAGAAAGGAGTTTTTGACAACCCAGAAAACTATAGGGGAATATCCTTAATGTAACTCGACATGTTGCTGTTCAATTACAAAATTGCTCTGTCAATCGAGATGTTGCCGTGAAACTCGACTTGTTGCTGTGTAATTCGACATGATACTTTGTCGCTCGATATGATGCTGTGCAGCGTGAAACATGATGTGTAACGTGTCATGTAGTGTAACTCGACATGTTGCTAAATCACTCGACATGTTGCTGTGTAACCTGACATGTTGCTGCGTAACTCGACATGTTGCTGCGGATCCTGACATGGTGCTGCGTAACTCGACATGTTACTCGACATAATGTATAACGTGTCTCGTTGTGAAACTCGACATATAGCTGTGTGACGTACATCATAATGTATAACGTGTCCTGTTGTGAAACTCGACATGTTGTCGTGTAACGTAAATCATGATGTGTAACGTGTCTAGTTGTGAAACTCGACATGTAGCTGTGTGACGTAAATCATAATGTGTAACGTGTCCTGTTGTGAAACTCGACATGTAGCTGTGCGACATAAATCATAATGTGTAAAGTGTCTCGTTGTGAAACTCGACATGTTGCCTGTGGCGTAACATGTTGCTGCGTTACTCGACATGCTGCTGTGTAACGTAAATCATAATGTGTAAGGTGTCCTGTTGTGAAATTCGACATGTTGCCGTGTCACGTGTCCTGTACCTGTGAAACTCGACATGCTGCTGTGTAACGTAAATCATGATGTGTAACGTGTCCTTTTGTGAAACACGACATGTGTAACGTAAATCAAAACGTGTAAGGTGTCCTGTTGTGAAATTCGACATGTTGCTGTGTAGCGTGTCCCGTACCTGTGAAACTCGACATGATGCTGTGTACCGTAAATCATAATGTGTAACGTGTCCTATTGTGAAACACGACATGTGTAACGTAAATCAAAACGTGTAACGTGACCTGTTGTGAAATTCGACATGCTGCTGTGTACCGTAAATCATAATGTGTAACGTGTCCTATTGTGAAACACGACATGTGTAACGTAAATCAAAACGTGTAAGGTGTCCTTTTGTGAAACACGACATGTTGTTGTGTAACGTTAATCAAAACGTGTAAGGTGTCCTGTTGTGAAATTCGACATGCAGCTGTGTAACGTAAATCATAATGTGTAACGTGTCCTTTTGTGAAACACGACATGTGTAACGTAAATCAAAACGTGTAAGGTGTCCTTTTGTGAAACACGACATGTTGTTGTGTAACTTTAATCAAAACGTGTAAGGTGTCCTGTTGTGAAATTCGACATGTTGCTGTGTAACGTAAATGAAAATGTGTAACGTGTCCTTTTGTTAAATTCGACATGTTACTGTGAAACGTGACATGTGGCTGTGTAACGTGACATGTGGCTGTGTAACGTGACATGTGGCTGTGTAACGTGACATGTGGCTGTATAACGTGACATGTGAGCTGTGTAACGTGACATGTGGCTGTGTAACGTGACATGTGGCTGTGTAACGTGACATGTGGCTGTGTAACGTGACATGTGGCTGTGTAACGTGACATGTGGCTGTGAAACGTGACATGTGGCTGTGTAACGTGACATGTGGCTGTGTAACGTGACATGTGGCTGTGTAACGTGACATGTGGCTGTGTAACGTGACATGTGGCTGTATAACGTGACATGTGGCTGTGTAACGTGACATGTGGCTGTGTAACGTGACATGTGGCTGTGTAACGTGACATGTGGCTGTGAAACGTGACATGTGGCTGTATAACGTGACATGTGGCTGTATAACGTGACAATGTAGCTGTGTTTCTCTGTAACGTTACGTGTCGCTTTGTAACGTGCAGTGTTGCTGTTGAGTGTGACTTGCTGCTGTATAAGGTTACGTGTTGCTGTGTAACGTTGCTTTATGACGTGTCCTGTTAATGTTGATGTCGACATGCTGCTCGCGACGAGACATGTTGCTGTGTAACATGTCCTGTACCTGTGTAACGTGACATACTGCTGTGTGACGTGACATGTTGCTGTGAAACGTGACATATTTATGTATAACGTGACATGTTGCTGTGTAGTGTGACATGCTGCTGTGTGACGTGACATGTTCCTGTATAACATGACAGGCCGCTGTGTGACGTATCATGTTGCTGTATAACGCGTGCTGTGGCTGTGTAACGTGTCCTGGACCTGTGTAACGTGTCCTGTACCTGTAAAACGGGTCCTGTACCTGTGTAATGTGTCCTGGACCTGTGTAACGTGTCCTGGACCTGTGTAACGTGTCCTGTACCTGTAAAACGGGTCCTGTACCTGTGTAATGTGTCCTGGACCTGTGTAACGTGTCCTGGACCCGTGTAACGTGTCCTGGACCTGTGTAGCGTGTCCTGTACCTGTAAAACGGGTCCTGTACCTGTGTAACGTGACATGCCGCTGTGTGACGTATCATGTTGCTGTATAACGCGTGCTGTGGCTGTGGAAGTCGACATGCTGCTCGCGACGTGACATGCTGCTGTATAACCAGTCCTGTACCTGTGAACCGTGACATGCCGCTGTGTGACGTATCATGTTGCTGTATAACGCGTGCTGTGGCTGTGGAAGTCGACATGCTGCTCGCGACGTGACATGCTGCTGTATAACGGGTCCTGTACCTGTGTACCGTGACATGCCGCTGTGTGACGTATCATGTTGCTGTATAACGCGTGCTGTGGCTGTGGAAGTCGACATGCTGCTCGCGACGTGACATGCTGCTGTATAACGAGTCCTGTACCTGTGTACCGTGACATGCCGCTGTGTGACGTATCATGTTGCTGTATAAGGCGTGCTGTGGCTGTGGAAGTCGACATGCTGCTCGCGACGTGACATGCTGCTGTATAACGAGTCCTGTACCTGTGCACCTTGACATGCCGCTGTGTGACGTATCATGTTGCTGTATAACGCGTGCTGTGGCTGTAGAAGTCGACATGCTGCTCGCGACGTGACATGCTGCTGTATAACGGGTCCTGTACCTGTGTACCGTGACATGCCGCTGTGTGACGTATCATGTTGCTGTATAACGCGTGCTGTGGCTGTGGAAGTCGACATGCTGCTCGCGACGTGACATGCTGCTGTATAACGGGTCCTGTACCTGTGTACCGTGACATGCCGCTGTGTGACGTATCATGTTGCTATATAACGCGTGCTGTGGCTGTGTAACGTGTCCTGGACCTGTGTAACGTGACATGCCGCTGTGTGACGTAACATGTTGCTGTGTAACGTAACATGTCGCTGTGTAGTGTGACATACTGCTGTGTAAAGCGTTCTTGTTTAAGCGACCGTTCTTTTTAGATACAACTGTATTCGATTTTGCCAGTGGCACAAGTGGAACATTTGCAGCTTCATCTGAAATTAAATTGACATTTCTCTTTCCATGTTTAGGCCTCTAATCTTCATAATAGCAAAAGTTTAATTTTTTCAATAAATATCTGAGCGGTATGTCAAAAGTGTCCAATTCCGTGTTGCCGTGATAGGTCCTATATACTGCCGTGTTACCGTGGTAGGCCCTATATACTGCCGTGCCACCGTGGTAGGTCCTATATACTGCCGTGTTACCGTGACAGCTCCTCTCAACTGTCTTGTCACCGTGATATGTCCTATATACTGCCTTGTTCCCGTGGCAGGTTCTACATACTACCATGTTACTGTAATAGGATCTATATACTGCCGTGTTACAGGGATAGGTCCTATATACTACCTTGTTTCAATGGTAGGTCCTATATACTGCCATGTTGGAACAAAGCCACTTGCCTGAGGAGACATCACGTGTGCAACATGTACCTCAGTGTGGGGTAGACCCGGAGACCAGCAGTAGCCGAACACGGTCACCCATCCAAGGACTCTCCGCGACCAACAATGCTCAACTTTTGATCCGGAACACAGTTCAAACAAGTGGGTGCAATCATTCAAAGGGCCTACATTTCCTACATACACGAACCACTGCAACTTTAGCTAATGCCTGACTATACCAGGTTTGGGGGGCAGGCCCTGCCCAACCGGTAGCACGTGTCATAATACAGTTACTCCCAGAAAACATTCTACGACAAAGTCAGGGACATGGTTCTCGAAGTTACTTGGAAGATGACGACAGAGCGTCGTTCATAAGGTAATAATTGCAAGTGTATGTTCAGACGGTCGACGATAGAAATGGGAAAGAAATAGCAAAGAATCAACATAATTTAACATACATTTTTATTCAGCAATTTCAGAGGTACAAAAGATCACGGAAATCTGCCAAACCTTTGTACATTTCTTTTTGAAGAGGAGAGCTCGATGTTGTTATGGACCGGAAGTGAGATGAAATGGAAACGAGGCGTACTGAGGGCACATGTCTTTGAAAACAGAAATATCACATGAAAGTATTTTTTTCGGAAATGTTCTCACAATTTCACTTGTCATTGCTGTAATAAGCGTTTCAGTTTTCCCAGAACACTTTTATTCACTGTCTGAAAAGAAAAGTGTGAGTTAGTTCAAATGATTAACTACAGAGAACGCAACCAAGAAAGGAATGGGATTAGAAGTGATAAAAAATGCACATGTTCATCGAGACGTTAAATGATAATAGGGAAAGGATCATTCATATTCCTTTGACCATACTCTAGGATTGTATTCATAAATAATCACGGCATGTTCTCTAGGCACAATAGTAAACTTTCGTTTATTGTACGTTTTCCATCGAAACTATATTGAGTCATTCGAGACAAGCGGAGTTTTGATGTTAGATTTGGTGTCACTCGGGATGTTATCGAGGCCATACACTCACATCGTCTCGATATATCGATTATTAGGATGTTCCAAATCAAAAGGAACTTACGGAATATTTCTTTTGTTATTGTTTGTGCTAACTACAAAAGTGTCGTGAATCGGTAGTGCTTTACTACATATTCTGTGTCAATCTATCGAAAATGATAAGTCAATTATAAGATCCCTACGTTTCTCTATATGGTGTGGAATAAATATCACTTTGGCTCGATGATTTCCAAGTGTGACCAGCGTATTTCAGTGTATTACTTCCTTGTTTCAATATCAGAGTAAGATTAAATTACATAAAATTTGAGCATACCTATCTCAGAAATAGTTACAACTTAGTACAGATCAGCGGACATCTTTTCTAGAAAAGATTCTGTTTGCGAAGTTATATAGACGCAGTGAATATATGACGGGGAAGATTGAGAGTTTGATGCTAGTGGAATCATCTTTGACAGCTCGTGTTGCACCATAGTCATTTCAGATGCAGATCACGGAGGTATGATTGGAAACTGACCCTGTCAACGTCAATTGCGAAACGGAAAAGAAGGAACTCAATTAAATGGGATTTTGAATTCTGTTGCCCGGGGTAAATGAAAATGCAAATATAAAGGCGGTAATCGCGACACCGTGTCTAATAGATTAAATCTCAAATGAGATATGCCATAGAAAAAAGTGCAAAGAGCACCACTCATAGCGTGGCAATGAATAAAGCAATGGCACGAATGCAAAGGATGCATTTCCCATAATGTATTTATGAATTATTCAGGACATCGAGGAGTATATATTGTACTCAGGCATCATTGAGCAGCAAGTGATACGATACAAGCTTACACTTAAACAATTCGAATGTGACAGCACATATTATGGACCGTGTTTAGATAATCACAAATGACTTAGTGATTATTGTTCTTTGAAATATTTTTTTTTAACTGAGATAGGAAGAATATAAACTTAATCTTGAATCGTACGTGTATGATCTACGTAAAACATCGTGGTAGCCTTCGATCGATGAAACCTTTTCTATTGATTCCCATACAGTACATAACGATTAACGCATAGGATGCACCTAAAACCTTGACAGCTGCATCTCCCTGGTTGTGACAGGCGACTAAATGGATCGCGTGACTAGGTGACTAGGTTGACTGTGTGCCATCGTGGTGTGGACCGTTGCTCATAATATCAAACATTGGTTTGTCTTGTCCAGACACGACTCTATTAACTATTGGCTGCCGTGATAGATGGAATATTGTTAAGTGCAACAACAAATAAACTATACTATAAAACTACAACTATATGTAACAGGTTACTGGCAGTGACTATTAATTACACATCCATTCAACGTGAAACAATTGTTACAAATTACATTTAAATCTTCTTACATAAAATCTAAACTATTTGAAGGCAGATGTTTCTGTCTGTTTATTTCTTCTTGCTACGGTGGCTTGTGTCTCCACGTTACCTTTAAGCACGTGATCCTAAGATTAAGGGTTCAAATCCCGGTTCGCTCTGTTTATGTTTCTAGGTTTGTCAGCACCATACCATACTCGTGGGTTTCACTATAGTGGTAAATCTGCATCACTTCGGGCTTTCAAGATGGCACACCGTGATAGAACAAGAATTCTGTTTAACTCACTCACTCACTCACTCACTCTTAAGACTGAAAACAGCTCGGTTTGTTCATGATACAGATACGCAAAAGTGAATATGCTAATGATTGCCTTCACCATGCGAAACAACCAGTGTCATTAACTGAGCATTGTTCATATTGTGTAGGACAATTTGTATAAGCCCCGTGAAGATCCGTGTTAGAATAGGTCTTCAGGCAACTCATGCTCCAAGTCAGAGGCGACCTGGCTTGTCGTAAGAGGCGACTAACGGGATAGGGTGGTAAAACTCGTATCCCAACAGTGTGGATCGATGCAAATAATATCAATCACTGGATTGTCTCGTCCAGACCCGATTATATACAGTCCGCCGTCATGTAGCTCGAATATTGCTAAGTGCGGCGTTATTCCATAAACAAACAAACAAACAAACAAACAAACAATGTGTCTGACGAATTGAAATATTAATTTAAAAACGACCTTTGCACATTACCTGGGGTTTGTAACACTCTGGCAAACACATAGAATAAAAAACTCCGTCGTCAAATTTCCTGTCAACTGTTTCTTTCAATCCAGAGCAGCAGACCTTTCCGGCTTGACATATATTCCTCACTTCCGCCTTCCCGTCGTCGCCAACGACCCACTCGTTTTTTAGTCCCATCGTGCAACATTCGTCACTTCCTGCGGTCTGTTGGCCCGCCCGTCCCATTCTAGGGAATGCTAAATAACCCTGAGGAAGAATCAGTGACACTTCGTTAGTACACAGACGACACACGTTCATGGTATGGTTATTACTATAAGAGGTTGTCCTTGTCAAGGCCAACATTTGATGATACATCCATTTCCAATGGAGCGCAACTAGTTTGCCGAAAAGCCCCAAAAGAACGGATGGCTCTTCTCATGTTTGCCTTGCTGTAAAAAAAGGAATGGTATTAATGCATAATTCACAACTAGATATGAAAACACGGAGTAACGAATTTGTCCACTTTTAATCAAAACCACATAAAGAAGCATATATATTGACATGAGAGTGGTACGGTCACTTCAGAATTGTCAATACATTACCATCCAAGGACCACATTTATCATTTGGACTTTAATAAAAATTCTGGTCTGACTTTTTGTCAGCTCATTCTTTGCATGTATAGGTAACTGTACACATAAAGTAGACACACATATATACACAGACACACATATATACACAGACACACATATATACACAGACACACATATATACGGAAACGGACATACACAATTACAGGTATACAGAGACAATACCTACAAGTACGTATATGTGGAATTCAGGACCCATCCCAAAGTGTGTTTATTGTTTAACGCCGCACTCAGACATATTCCAACTACACATGACGGCGGCCTGTGAATAATCGAGTCTAGCCCAGACAATCCAGTGATCGATATTATGAACAACGATTCACGTTTTCGGTGCAGGATGAACCAACCAAGTCACTTAGCCTGCCCACCCGATCAATTCAATCGGTTTTCACGACCGTCGTCAGTAGCTGGGGTCCTGTTCTAGTCCGGAATCCCCGCTGTCTCAAGGTATGGGGTCCTGTTCTAGTCCGGAATCCCCGCTGTCTCAAGGTATGGGGTCCTGTTCTAGCCCGGAATCCCAGCTATCTCAAGGTATGGGGTCCCGTTCTAGCCCGGAATCCCCGCTGTCTCAAGGTATGGGGTCCTGTTCTAGCCCGGAATCCCCGCTGTCTCAAGGTATGAGGTCCTGTTCTAGCCCGGAATCCCCGCTATCTCAAGGTATGGGGTCCTGTTCTAGCCCGGAATCCCAGCTATCTCAAGGTATGGGGTCCTGTTCTAGCCCGGAATCCCCGCTATCTCAAGGTATGGGGTCCTGTTCTAGTCCGGAATCCCCGCTATCTCAAGGTAAGGGGTCCTGTTCTAGTCCGGAATCCCAGCTATCTCAAGGTATGGGGTCCTGTTCTAGCCCGGAATCCCCGCTGTCTCAAGGTATGAGGTCCTGTTCTAGCCCGGAATCCCCGCTATCTCAAGGTATGGGGTCCTGTTCTAGCCCGGAATCCCAGCTATCTCAAGGTATGGGGTCCTGTTCTAGCCCGGAATCCCCGCTGTCTCAAGGTATGGGGTCCTGATCTAGCCCGGAATCCCAGCTGTCTCAAGGTATGGGGTCCTGTTCTAGCCCGGAATCCCCGCTGTCTCAAGGTATGGGGTCCTGATCTAGCCCGGAATCCCAGCTGTCTCAAGGTATGGGGTCCTGATCTAGCCCGGAATCCCCGCTGTCTCAAGGTATGGGGTCCTGATCTAGCCCGGAATCCCCGCTGTCTCAAGGTATGGGGTTCTCTACATGCATACGTACAATTATCATGACACTCTTTGTTATCTCCATCATCAAGGAGCATTTGTTGAACTTGGTAATTGTTTTCAGAAACAACAGTTAAAGGGATTCCATCCAATTAGTCCTTACCCACATACAGTCGATATTTGATGTACAAGATTATTGAAAGTCTACAAACAATGACATTACGTCTGTATGGCATTAACTCTGTGTCTATCATCTAAGAAAGAAGATTTCTTTAAATAGTTCAATGGAACCTTTGTTTCAAAACACTATGGACACAATACTTAACACTACATGTCCTAAACACTTCTTCTAGTAAATGTGTATATGGCTTAATTTGCTATTTCCACCCGAAGATCTGGGTTCACTGTGCGAACACACACATAACACTGACATATATTTCCGACACACATGACAATGACAGTTCCCACACGGACTTTTTGTGATTAGACAGAAACAAAACATGTTTTTCCTTCCTTCGGGAACATGAACACCTTCTATCCTTCAGCCGAAACCCTTTTGTCGCTGCTGAATACACATATATGTATCAAAGGGTTTCTGAGAAAGGACGGTCCTCTATTGTGATCTCCCAATGGAAATGAAACTTTTAAGACACAAACGAATACTCTCTTTACAGAACATCGAAGAAAATTAATGATGAATTTGCATTTCATCACGTCAAACAGTTTGGGGCATATAATATATACATCCTCATGTAACCTGTGATATTACCATATTGTTCATGCGATAGTACATATTTGAGTTAGCCATGTGTAGAGGTATTTAAATGCGCAGCTCTGCCATGAAAAATGACAATCCAAATAATAAAACCTTCATTTATGAAGCAAAATATACAGTGATTACACCTGGTGTTTACAAAACGAATGAATGTGTCGCGCCTTCTCGGCCTTACCTCTTGCACACAATTATGTCTCATGCCTTCAACGAAATATCTTACTATCTTTGACATCTCTTTTTATTTGGACACTTCAGCTCCATATATTAAAAAAATTATATTGGTATCACAATGATGTCAATTTCAATCAAAAGCTCGAAGGAAATTTGATTTATTTACAAAGTAATGCTTTTATGCCTGTGGTATCAACCTGCCTCCGTCCTTTTAGTCTTCTGCCTCCTTTCTATGTATTAATGCATGTTTTGGTTTGTAATAGACTCAAAATAGTAAGAGGATTTAGTATCTCGAATAGGTTGTCAAGAAATTGGGATCTTGTGATGGTTTAAATGATAAAGAGTCTATTAGTGCTGCATCGATCTGAGTAAAGGATGGTAATGATATTTAACAGGTGATATTTCTCTAACGTGTAAAAAATCGTGCACTTCTATTTGCAGGTTTTTTTTCAGAACTTGACTTACCATACGTAAGTTAGGTTTAGTTATTACCAGAATATAATTTATTTCCAAATCGTGATGTCATCAACAACATATTGCCAGATTACATTATTAGTTTCATTAGGACTCAGTACTGTTTATTTAGTGAAAGAATGTTTCACATATTGATCTTAATTGGTTAGCTGAAATGAAAACACTAAATGGGTGATGTTAACATCATACAGTAAAAGAGGGACATGGAACAGATACATGTACTCTGTAATGAAACAACAGATATCCTATGCGTATCTGTTGATGTCCTTCTTTATTCTATGTTGATGGTATCATCTGCTCGCACAGACATGCACCTGTGAAAGAAAATAGTAATTGACAATATCATTGTGAAAAAATTGAAAATGCTTTATCGTTGCACATGCACCCATTGACGTCATACCGATCGACCATCCGATTGCAATCGTTTCCGGGGCATGGGAAACGGAAGTCCATCTTTACTGCGAAACTGAAGAAGCTGAAATCGAAATTGCGGAATAGGACATGTTTGGACACAGAGAACATATCACTTTTCTGAAAACGTGACACACCATTGCAACATATAAAATAAAAGATATATATTTACCAAACGAGGCACTAGGAAAATATTCAGCATGAACTAGTTGTTATATATGCATTCTTAACGTTACAAATATATATGTACATTTCTTGGTGCATAACGTGATGTGATACTACTCTACATGTGAATAGATTGTGCATTATCTATTCGTGAAATTCTAGTATCATTGTAGGCATTCTGGAAGCAGGCAGCAAGAACTGATTGTGAATGCAATGTGCAATCGGGTTTGGGACATACCAAATTATTTTGCTTGCGTTGTGAACATAAAAATGAAAATACCCCCATATTTGTATCATTTGATTTTCTGATTTTGGGTGGGAAATTCACATTCCCTGATCATGACCGTTCGTCTACGATTCTGGTGGTAAACGTCTAAGACCTTCATCACTTCGGTCTTTTGAGCCACGTTAAGCTGAAGCGTATTGATATATCTCTAATATTGTAATAAGCGGTGGTTATCGCACTCAGTAACGTATGTGTAGCATGTGCAAATGCTTTCAGAAACGATGTGTATGTTGACAATGACTTCTGATTTGATGGTGGATAGTCTCAGTGTGATGCAAATATACTCTATTCTGCTTCGAGTGGTATGATCAATATTGTACAATTTTAAATGAGACCAACGCCTGTTTGGGTAAACCGCTGCTCGTGAAAATAAACAAAAGTTTCTGGTATGAACTATTAAACCACTGTTAGATGATAAACTGACTGTCATTAAATCCTATGCCTCTAAATCATTCATGTTAAAAAGTTTTCGCTTAACGCTACATTGACATGTGTGCAACTTTTATGATTAAACCAGAACACAGCTATTCGTGATAATGGGTTTCTATACAATATATCAGTACAGTGCATAAAAGAGTCCATTGTACAGTAAATGGATTCCACCAACAATACATACATGCTTGTGTTGAAAATATTCTATTGTTCAGGACTGCTGTTACGGGATATTATCAATGCAACCTATTAACCTGCATTTGCACAATAATACGCTGACCCATAATTAACACATTAACGATGGCTTACATTGCATTGATCCTATATGTGTAGGAGTTGCACGTGGGGGACAGGATAACAACGAGGCTATCTTCACTAATCCGATGTGGGGTCAGCGTTGGTGTATCTATGGGGAAGTAACTGGTAGGCTCTGGCACAATCGGGCTCTAATGTCTCTGACGACAAAATGTGTCATACAATGTTCTGTATTGGAATGACGTTAGTCTGTACCAAGTTAGCACTGTTCGTCCCTTCCCTGGTACCTCTCTCCTGGGTTTCTGAGACATACGTCTTCATATATTACAGTTACGTAACCGTGGTGATGAGAAATTAGTCAGGACAGCTTTGAGCCGTAGCATACGGATTGGCAAGGTTTCGTTGTAATGTGTGTTACTTACTTGTATATTGCTTCTATTCACACAAAAGCATAACATGTACATGTATTTGTAGAAATGAAAGTACTGAAACTAAATCTTTGATCAGTTGAATCAACAAAGAAATGTATTATTCTGAACGTTTTGCTAATGTATCTTTGAAATGTAATTGTTCAGTCATCTTCTTATCCTCCTTGCCAAAAGCACCATCCATGTTTCCCGTCATGTTTTTGCCTGCGTGTTTCTTTATATTTACACGGACAACTATTATTCTACTGTCCAACCCCATGTGTACCAGTTACAGACACATCACATCTAATCACTCTATATATTTAACTACAGCATTTGTGCTGCCCTCGTTCTATCTGGAGTCTTGGAATCCTACATTGCACAACCCAAAGCGTCTTGACTGTACCAGAACGTGGCCTTAGTGAGATTAAGCTTAATTTCACAACAGGGACCTCAAGCTACTTGTAATGAGAACTGATAGGCTTTGTGATCCTTGTGATTATAACGGAAACCGAACGCTGCAAGGACCTTGGATGTAGCGTTAGCTAGGGCAACAGCACTGGCAGGTGCCGCTGTTTACCATATCGGGAGCTTTCAGTATACCGTAAGGGATTTTACGAGACGGTTTATAATGTGGTCTATGTGGCATGGATTAGTTCCTTTATTACGACTAATAGTCACTGATGGTGACTATAACGATAGTGTGATGTTGACTTGTGTCGTTTTCCTCTGTACATATGTGAGCATGTGGGTTTTCAAACTTGTGTCTTTTCGACATTTTTAATTAAACTTCAGACAATCAATGGCTTAGTCTTACCAGTATAAATATTATCAGATCTGGGTAAAACGAATCGACGCTTATAACGAATAATCACTTATGACAAATAATCAGTTGTGAAAAACCAGTTCTCATCCAACTGGATATGTGATGTATTTCGATGAAACTGAAACGAACTGATTATGTAGGACAATATTGTTCGTCATATTCTGTGATATGTAAATGGTATGTGGTATGTAAATGGTATGTGGTATGTAAATAACAAAACAGACTGCGTGAATTGGCGTGCTGTGTCATCCATTCTTCGCCGCTGTGTGAATTAACTGCAAAGTTCAATGCAGAGTGTATCAACATGTCGAACATTCATGCTCTATGAAAACTGAATGCTACATCTAACATTAGTATAAAACTAGGTGTAGTTCTGAAGCCATTCCACTCCAATCATCGGCTCCAAGATTAAGGTGTGAAGGGACTGAAGTCCGAGTGAAACATCCATAATTTTATACGTGTAAATATTTGGAACTAAATCTACGCTTGTGACGTGTCCGGGGAGGAAAACAGACGGATGAAGTAAACCGGGTGGAAATACCCAGACACAGATGCAGGAAGGGTACGGAGGATGCTCATCAGCATATAGTTTCTCGTGGGATGTGGTTTGTGTCAAAATGCTCAAATCGTGCCCTGGAAAGCTACGATTCATACCCCTGTTTCCCTTGGGGGAGATAATTCTTGCCTTCTTCCTCTAGGGAAGGCGAAAAAATGACCGTTAAAAACACCACCCTGAATGTTTCTTGGGGTAACTAATCCTTCCTTTTGCTGCAATAAAACCAAACAGGAGACGTATTAAGGGGTGCGTCATTCACCCTAATCAGATATGTTACCCTTAAAAGAAAATGCAGTGGAAAGAGACCGTAATTTATCTCGAATTTATTAACTCCTTAAACATTATTGTAAAACACATCATGTAAGGTGTGCATGTACTGTAACTAGATCACAGGAAAAGATTGTTATTCGTATCCCGGCTGCGAGCACGGATGACCAAGTTGTCAAAGTAGTCGCTATTCGCAGTTGCGTCCCTTTGTAACCAGGGTCCACCGATTGGGGTTCGACATTTAATCCTGTTCCAATTCCGTCAGAAACGAATCGGTATTACATTGTGAAGGTTTACGACCAGAATTACTGCAAACGTTCCTCTCACATTAAGCTGAGACGCAGCAATATGCTTGTAACTGGAATACTGTTCAAGGCGGCGTTAAACCCAACTCACCCACCCGAGTGCCGCGTAAGAGGTTTGTTGATGAATACATGATTCAAGTAAAGGATGTTTCAAATTTCATTCATATAGAAAATATCTGTGTTACCTGAAACCAACAACAGGGGGTGGGTCGTGGTATTTGTTCAATTATAGGAGAGGTTCAATTATACTTAGGCACTATGCATATCATTATGATGAATATTAGTCTCGCATTAATACATGCACACAGTTGTCATGCATGGATTTCTTATTATTAAAGAAAGGGGTTTGTCGATTTAGGTTTACATAATGTGAAGATTTAATAAACCCGAAATATTTTGTCATTATAAATACTGACCTTATCAAATACTATCAAGTATAATGTCCACTCCGAGTGTGACGAAGTCAGCTGTATAGGATGGTTGGCTATTACGAACATCATGTTAATGTGAGAAACGAAACTTTGGTTAAACCGAGCTGATCTTAATGGTCCCTTAGATTTCGTTGTACAGGGAGTGGTCGGGTAGCCTAGTGGTTAAAGCGTTCGCTCGTCACGCCGACTACCTAGGTTCCCGACATGGGTACAATGTGTGAAGCCCATTAATGATGTCCCCCGCCGTGATATTGCGGGAATATTGCTAAAAGCGGCGTAAAACCATACTCACTCACTCACTGAAATACAATTTGATCAACACCCCTTCGTCATCGTACTGTAAAGATTCTCCTCTTAACCGTATTAAGTCATGCTGATTTTGAAGCTTATACTCACTGAACGGCCCATCCTTGGGAAAGCCAAATAGTTCTGAAATTTAAAAAAAGCATCGTTGTTAGTACACAAAATATACCTTTGGGTACGAAGGGCACCACCACAATGAACACCATCACGATGGACACTATCAAAATGATCGCAATTACAATGAACACCATCCCAACAAACACTACCACAATAAACACCATCACGATGAACACTCAAAAACGTTTGTGAGAGTAAACACGTGGTGGTGGTATTGAGATAGCGAGTGTAATGAATACTCACACAATTTGTACATCAAAGTTCGTTTGTTATCAACATGTCGACTTTCATTGGAAATAATGACATTGAGATCTCAGTGAAAACATCAATTAGATGCACTGTACATTTTTTGGAAAGGCTCTCGGTGGAAGAATCCGGATCAACTTCATTTCTGATCAACTTTACAGTTTTGCGTCTTTTCAAAGCACGTTCAAGGGAGAGCAAGTCGAATTTACAAGTCTCAAGTTGTTAAAACAATCTGTCTGCCAAATTGGCACTGCAAATGTTGAGAATCGATTTCCCGTTTACAAATCCAATACAATCACCTTGAGATATCACAGACCCAAAGCTATTGAAGCCAATTCTACCATTGTCTTTTAGCAGTATACATGTACATATCAGTTCATGGACAAGAGCGAGTCCCCACAGTCATCATTCAGACATGATATCCAAAGAAATCAATGATAAGAGACATGCTGATTATTAAAAACGACGCTTAAGAATAAACGTGTTCCGTGCTGAACCACCATTTCTGTCACATACCTCTAGGAAATCTAGAGGCAATATCATGACCCTTTGGCCCATCGCTACTATTCATTTTCGTTTACCTCACACGACTAACGGTATATTAACCACATCTCCAAAATAAAACGTTAATTATACCATCAACTGTAATCTGCAACCTACTGATTTTACGAATACGAGATTAACGTCCTTAAAATTCGGATGTCTATATCAAAGACCTATGTTTAAGAGATAAATGCTTTTTTTAATAAATCCAAATGGCTACATGAAACTCAAAACATTGCCATGTTGTCAGCAAAAACATAAATGTACATGGTTTGGGCTAAATTAGTCACTTGATGAACTTATTAGCATGTGTGATTAATCAATACATGGCGTTAGAAACATGAACTACGAGCAGATGCACTCGTATATTTTTAAAGGAGTAGCTGAAGGGGTACACGTTCACGTTCTTCAAAAACATATTATGTTCACTTATGAACTTGCTGTTAAATATATCTTTTAATGGATCCCTCTATATGTCATTTTATATACATGAATGTTTTCTATGAGTGTTGCTAATGATACCTTTTCAATCTATTGAACCCTGGCTTAATGCCTTTGTAATAAATGCCTTGGTCATGCATTACTGGCAATGCAAATACACATAGTTATATCAATATTGACAGCGATGTACACACGTCTATCGAACGCTTTATTTTGTTTAATGCACGACCCCGTGCTTCATCGTCAATTTGCCATCGCTAAATTAATATTATTCCAGAACTCAACAAAATCTGAAATGTCAACATTTCAATATTTGCCAATAATGACCGTGTTTTCCTTTCGGTATCAGATGGCAAATGTATTGATAAGCGAAATAAAGTGCAGTTCGTTTATTCAACATTTACTAATAATTGGCCTTTACCATCAATAACATTTTTTAAACATCGCGTTAATTTCGATCAATATCATAAATGCATTTTATTACATGACCCGTGATAAAGATTCACCTATCGTGGGATGATTATTTAAAATGCGTTCATCAAAATGATATATTAGATAGCCACTCACTTTCTGAGCAGGATTGATTAAAATGGCACTTCCCTTTAAGAATTTACAAATGTCTTTCCGGTGTCATCAAGTTTGCAAACAGTATGAACGTGACCATGCGAATATATGGCAAAATCCCAGATAATCCTCAAACGTCAAACACTTAAGTCGTGTTCCTGCATCCAATTGCATGTCATTAATCTTGTAGCCGACTTGGACAATTGCATGCTATTTCATTCCATTGCCAAAGAAGTATGAAAACCTAAAATCCGAGTGCGACATAAATGGGTTACCTTTCATTTAGTAAGCAAGCGCTTATAACAGTACTTCAGTCAATACTTCTACGTGCTAACAGATCCGTTACGGTATCCTCCGTATCATCTACACTCTACAGGAAACGGGGTCGTGATTTTACGGATATGTCAGCAAGAACTTAATGTGGGAACATGCAGTTGCCCGTAGAGTACGATGGTGGCATTGATTCACTACGCCATGTAGCTTGTATTCTGAATTCAGACGCGATGACCCCGATGGAACATCATATTTTTATTGATCTAAGTCACAGCAGATACGGAGTAAATATTTCACGTTAGCTTTGTCGCGGTTTCTATGTGTAACAGTTTGCAATTTGTCACATGGGACGGAGCCCTAAATTACCACCAGCGTCATAATGTACACCCGATGGGAATTGGGGCTACACAGAGACGTGAATCACATTTGATCCAAACTAAACATTGTTTCCAGTGGCTTTCTATCATAAAAGCCTTGGCGGGCAGACCATGTACCGTGACCCATGCTTATTATATGGACGAATTAGATGGGATACAACTACAGCGTTTTTCATAATCGGTTGAAAAGGTCAGTTCTGATTTAAAACGAAATCTTGATTGGGATGTTTCCGAAAATGCCAATACTGACGATGATAATTAAGTGAGTTATATTGCAAGACCCGCTACACAGAAACGCACTATCCATGTTTATGTCAACATTAAAGGGGCACTGGCAAACTGACAACAGTAACATTTGGAAACAAACAGTGAAATATTGATTTTTATCCCCTGGTACATTGCTTGCAATCAAAAACTAATTTCAACTCTAAAAACACACCCATCACATGCCGGAATGTCGGGAACACCTGGTGTCTAATCAATATCGTTTTAGTTTGATTGGTGAAATTGTTCTGAAATTATCGTTTAAATTTATTGGCTTCTTTGTGACTGAAGATGAACGGAAGGGATGTGCGGATGCCCCTAGGGTTCTGACGTTTAATTCAATTTATAGAGTTCAAGAATGTTGTCTCAAACACATTATGCCAACTGCCATGTTGGACTGTTCTGGTGGTGACATAAATATGAAACAAAAACAAAACACAAAACCTCGACGAATCGAGATGTACACAACTGTGTTGAGTGTTTGCGAGTTCACGCATTTACGTCATGTCATCTCAATGAAAGATATCCATCAACAGAAGATTTGAAGATACGGGAATGTATGGCACCGCTTAGAGAAAAGCCCGTCCTCTTGTAATGAAGGCAAATAAGCCGGAGTCGTTCCATCGTCCCCTGGTCTCTAAATAACGATGTCTTATGATACCAGGGAGACCAAATGATTGCCAATCCGTGTCAACGCTGACGGTTTCTCCATCTGGTAAACGACACCAGGCTATCGCTTTAATCTTACAATTACTCCGTCAGCTTATCCAAGTTCAATTGAGTGGGAACTCTATGCTGACTTGTATTACCTCTGACTACTGCTCGGCCAGCTGAAGTGATTTAACCGCTTAGTCCGTCTTGAGGTGAAACTCTGAAATCCCGAGGATCTACGTCCCTTGGTTTCATTAAAAAGTCAATATCGAATGTGTTTATGAAAGGATTCGTAGAAGGTGTCTTTCAGGAAAGGTTCAGTTCGTATCAACATGATCAAGTAGTGTTAAAGTGTTCTCGTTTATGTTCTTGAAGTTTATCAACCGTAATACTGCATGAAATGTAGTTGCGTAAGTCCAACGAACAGTATTTGGTTTAGGTACACTTTGAAAGTTTGCGTCGGTTCTCGGCATAAATACCGTAGCAAAGGAGGCCCAGTAGAAAAGCGCTCCTTGTTGCGCCACTAACTGTCAGGATCATTTGGACGTTTGGACATTACAAGTAAATTCTATTTCTGCATGGATAGAAAAATAGAGCTCAATTTCAAAACGTTTGTGGTGATCAAGTGTTGTTATTTGTTTTACAAATTGGAGAAGACGTTTTCGACTTTTACCTGGACATCTTAAATTGCATACCGTAAAACGACAAAACAATCAAACATGCATTATTGTCTCCAGGAAACGTGACCAACTGGATCTAGTCTGAAGTAACACTTCGTTGCCTTATGACTTGGCTTTAATTTCCTTTCATCAAACCACTAATCCAAATCATCCTCATAAGTGGAAAACGCCACGGGGATTCGCCGCATGGCCCAGAGCAATTGCCATGCTGTTACCCTTTGTTAAACACTAGCAGTAACTGGCGGGGCCATGTTTCGTGGAATCAATCCAGATAAGCTATGGACAAAATTTAGCACTTGTTAAGTAGTACTACCGTTCCGCCCAATTCACCCTGCTAACTCCGATTGAATTCTTGCAGAAAGACTTTAGGTTCGATGTCTCCTGGGACGAGCCTTTATCAAGACGCTGATGCTATTGGTGGCGTTCTACATGCAGATATCTCATCATGGCTACAATTACTTTAATTTTCCACAGATGAGATTTAATCGTTCACTTGTCCGGTGGGACATGGCTATCGCGTAATGGTAGATTTAATTTTGTCATAATGACAAGCCTTCACCGGACTGGTCTGAGATTAAGTCGCCCGCCGCATGTATATATGGTTCAATTATGCGTTACGCGTGTGGTGATCGCCGTCTTGGTTTACAAAATAACGATTTGTTGGACTGATTTGTGGCTGATGCTGTCATCGTTATTTAGACAGTGTTACATATCCATATCAATAAACACTTACATGAACACTGGCTTCCAGACGACAAAATCTGTCACTGCGTGTTTAACTGTAGCCATCAACAGGAATTGCAAATTGAATTTTATGATCAGTCTCCCTTCAATGCATACATCTTAATACATGTCCATTATATGACTTCCTTCATACCTAACTGGCTTCATGTAACTCTGATTAATTGCAAACGCAAAATGTACATATCCTCAGACTGCTTTTTCATACTTTATATATATATGTTAACAA